GAGCCCCTGGCAGGGCCTAAAGGGGCTCCAGGAGAGCTGGAGAGGGACTAGGGACAAGGCATGGAGGGACAGAAGAAAGGCAAATTCCCCCATGGAATTATCAGCAGATTTCCTGAAGCACAAATGCCCACAGAGAGGTGACAGAGTTAAATATGTGACACAGAGTGGTCCCTATGTTAATATGGACAAGACAAATAAGCTGTGCCTCTACAGTGCAATTCTTTGCATGATTAGTTGAGATCAATCACTATATTGAGTATCCAGATCTAACTCAAGATTATCCTACACCAAAATCTGTAGGAAGAGAGAAAACCCCTGCTTTTGTAACATTGAATAAAAGATTTTAAAGTTACCAAACGAAGCATCCAGGAAGTACCACAGCACCCAGTCTTTTTATTACAACATTTATTTTAGTATAGAAGGCACTTACAATACAGAAAGAGAAACAGAGAAAAAAAAAAACATATGATAGGCACCAAAAGTGAAATTAGAATTAAAATGACAAAGAAACGGTTTACCAGACCAAAGGAGCACCCTTCCCCTGTTAACAATACAGCACATGGAAATGAAGCTATTGATGACTAACATTTTTAACAATTAGGGGTTTTTATTTTTTAATAGAAAAGATAAAGGCTGTTCTACTGTGAACTGAATTAAAAAAGAGCCCCTCCACACACCTGCAGGAGGGTCTGGGAGGTGTGGTGGTCACCGGCAGGGCTCTTTCAGGTCCGGCACTGCAGGAGGTCCTGGTACATCTCAATGAGACGAGCAGCCTCTCTCTGCCCAGAGAGCACAGCACCGTGGGTCGTGGAATAATACTTCCTGTGAGTGGCCTCCCCCGAAAACATCACCTGCATCGGCTGCAGAGGACGGGAAAAGTGGCACAGCTCAGCAGAACTCACTGGAAAGCAGATGTGAGGCTAAAAGGAGACAAACCTCCCTGTGCCCTCCCACGTGGAATTGTGGTTTGGGTTGGGAAGGACATTAAAGCTCATCTCGTTCCTCACCCCCTGCCATGGGCAGGGACACCTTCCATTAGACCAGGTTGCTCCAACCTGGGATGGGGCATCCCCATGGGTTGACATCTGTTTTGGAATGTTGGCACTCCAAATTCCAACATGGTGTTCCACAAGGACAGGTCCCAGCTCTGGGAACCTTAATCAAACCTGCACCTTTTCTGTACCATCTCCTCCCTTTGCTCCCCTAAATTATACCTCAGCCTTTTAGGCATTAAGGTAATTTTTCTTCTGGGCAGCAACTTCAGAAGGAAAAAACAGTCATGTCTCAAAACCCAGAGGGTGAGAGACAGTGTTGTATCTCTTACACCAACACTTGCAACAATTCCAACTCAGCTCCTAGGCAGGAGTTTCAGGTACCTCTCTTCCCTGGGAACTACACAGAAGGATTCCTAAAGCTCCTGCTGCTTTTTTTTAAGTAGATTTCTGCGCTGAATAAAATTATATCTGCTCTGGTGGAGGAAACAGACTGAGCAACTGCTTGGAAGGCTGCATTTCCATCAGCCTTTGTCTTTGGATTTGGACACGTAACCCTGAATGATGGGGTGAGTTTGGCTAAATGTGTTCCTGCTCGTCAGCTGAGCTGTGGTAACCATCTCCATGTGTGCTCCTTGCTATATTCAGAAAGCAAAGGCACTGTCTGAGGATAAAATCCATCCTCCCCTGCCAAGGACTGGGCCTCCCTCAGCCTGCACTGCCAACACAAGAGAGATTTCCTAATATGCACCTCTGACACATTCAGACCTAAGACACCAGCAGGGGCATGTGTTTAAGAACAAGCTTTAAAACAGGTTAACACGTGCTTTTTTAAGGAATTCTGAACCGGACAATAAGGCTAATGGCCATAAAACGCAGAGATCACAATTCCAAAAGCCACATGGATGAGCAGCTCTTGATAAACTCAGGGAGAGAAGGCGGGAATGCCGGCATTCCAAACGTTAAAGGGGTAAAATCCCACAGACGCCATTCATTCAAGGGGGTATGTACAGCTTAAAAAACAGGAACACACACTACCGGAAAGCCCAGCCAGAGACTGTGTTTTTCAACCTCCCTCCCAGAAAACTCACTACCCAGTAAAAACCACATCAGTTTTGCTGCCACGGCCCCAGTTTGGGCCACACTTACAGGAGTTTTGGAGCTCTCGGCGTAAGGCAGTGGTTTAGCGAGTTTCTCCACGTCGGCCCCACTAGACCCAACCTGGGTGTAGGAGTAGGATCCACGGAAGTGGGGGTTGCTGCCCCAGGAGGACCGCAGGATCCGGCGAGGTTTCGGAATGTTTGGATTCCCTGGGGGGGAAAGCGGAAGAGAGAAAGTGAGGCTGTGTCCAAGGGTGCAAGGTGTGGTCTGATAAATTCGGTCTGATTTATTGGACATCCATCCTAACAGAGCCTGCAGGTTACAGGGAAGAGCCCCCAAACCAGATCTCTCTTCTCTTACTGAGTTCTAACTATCTGTATAACAAAAACATCATCCCTTTTAATCTCAGCTCTTCCGTTTTCCAGGGAGGTGGTGGAGTCCCCATCCCTGAAGGTGTTCAAGAATTGACTGGACATGACACTCAGTGCTGTAGTTTGGCTGACAAGGTGATGGTTGGTCAAAGGTTGGACTCGATGACTGTGGAGGTCTTTTCAAACCTAAATGATTCTGTGGTTCATTTTGGGAAAGATCATTAAAATGTCTACATTCCTGAAAGATTGGGGAGTTTCAGTGAACCCTGGACATGGTCTAGCTGAAAATACAGAGCATCTCCTGCTCTCATTTGTGGTGGGCAGACTGCTTGTGATGAAGCACGTGATTGATCTCACCAAATTTTAGGTATTTAACTGGGTGCCTAGTCTGAATTGGGTTTTTAAGTGGTCTTGAGAGAGAGATGTACCTCCAAAGAGAAGTGGGTAAGGATGCTAGAAGGCAAATCTTCATTATGTGGGGGCACAGAAAAACCTGTCAGAAAGTTCTCAAAACCTGCATTACTCATTCCAACTGCAAGCCAGTTGCCCCACCCCCCAAATAAACTTAAATTCCAACCGACTCATTTTGCAGAACACACACAGCATGGAAAGAAGACTTTTGAGGCTGGAAGTAGGATGATTTCTAGATTGCTGTAGGATTTTCAGGACCTCTAGATGAGGGGCACTGGAGCGCACCAGTGATCATCAGCCACTGTTCCCATCCCAAAGAGCACAGGAGCACACGGGATCCAGGACTGCAGCCAAGGCAGCCGAGCACCAGCTGGTGGCAGAAGAGCCCCAGGTACAAATAGAGAGAGCCAGGTATAAATAGGGAGACCCCCTTGCTAGGCTGGTTTGGGGCCATCTCAGTGTCACCCATTCTGTTGGAGTCCCATGATCATATCTGGCTTGGCAGGAAAGGAATGGGGAGATGGGACATGAAGAATTCCAATGAAGAGAAATTCTCCCTGCGGGAGCCAAGATCCACCCTTGAGGCAACTTTGAGGCAGTGGTGGAGTCCCCATCTCTGGAGGGATTTAAAAGCCATGTGGAGGTGGCACCTGGGGACATGGGTTAGTGCTGCCCTTGGCAGTTCTGGGGGAACAGCTGGACTTCATGGTCTTAAAGGGCTTTTCCAACATAAACCATTCTGTGATTGTAAGAGACTGTCACAGGAAGGAAGGGTTTGGAGACATGTCTGCATCTCACACAGATCCTGTGTCTGCTTCAGACTCTGACTCTTTGACAACTCAACAGGTTCAGCCTGCTCTGAGACAACCCAAATTCCCCCACTTTCTTCATCACAGCTTAAAGAGGGAGACATCCAACTGTAAAGACTAGTTAGGCCCTACGTTATTTAGTTCTACTAAACTGTTATTTAGCTGTGCCTTCAATTCCTTGAAATCAGGAGCAGGTTACTTCCCTGGTTCAGCTGCTGCTTTCAGGAATATTGTGTGTCAACCAGAGTTATGGAGCACAGGGCTGGAACAGAGCAGAAGCCCTTGGATGGCCTGCCCAGAGTACACTGTGAACACTTTCTAACCACCAGCCCCCAGATCAAAATATGTCCCAGACTAGCAAATAAATACAGGCCACAAACAAAACACATCCTACAAACCAATGTTGTTTCAGGAGCAACAGCTTCGCATAACAAAGCCTCTAAAATATGCTCCTCCAAGACTCTTCAAAGCAGGAATGCCTGGAAGTGGAAAGCCCAAGGGAGTCTGAGAACAGGGAGCTCTCAGATG